ATTGGTGTGTAATAAACATCTTAAAATTTAGTGCCTTACAACAAAATCTGTTTTGCCTGCAAATCTGTGATATGGATAAAGTCAGGGTAGCTTATCTGTGCCGTACTGGACTTGAGCAGGACTTCTCAAAGTATGAGATCTGGAATTATGAGCGGTCTGGCTCATTTTTATGTTTAGTTGCTAATGCTAGCTATTGGTTTAAACCCAACTGAGACTGTTGGCCAAAACACCTCCTAGTGTCCTATCTGTGTTGCTTGGGTGTCCTCACAGCATGGTGACCGAGTTCCAAGGTTAAAGTTGAGAAACAAAAAACCAAATGGAGAGGGTACTAACTTTTCTAATTTAGTCGTGGAAGCCACACATTGACTTTTTCTATAGCTTATTCGTTAACAGGACATAATTGAGGAGACTCATATTCAAAGGAATGGGTAAAAGGCTTCATTCCTTAATGAAGGAGTGTTAATGAATCATTGTTAAATTCACATTGATAGGACCGGATGTATTGCAGTGAACATCATTGGAAATTGTATCTGTCATTCTTGGGTTTCTTTTTTGCTGATTGTAATTTTTATTTCTATCCTCTACCTTATTATGGAGTGAAATTTTCTCAACTTCTGATACGAGGAATGGCTATGTGTCTTTATGCTTGTTATCATTTGTTTTGTTCTGAATTGGCTTGGACATTTTAGTGGAAATATTGAAGCCAGATATTACACACTTACTTAGAGATGATTTAAGTTACTTTGAAATTGTTTCCAAATGCTAAAACACAAACCTCATCAAGAAACATCATCAAATCCACTTGGATAGGTTTTCATTTGGTCAAATATGTTAAATACCCTTTCTTGTGGATAATTTCTTCCCCATTTTAATTTTGCAATGTATCATCATTTGTTTGTGGCTCTTTTAAAGATGGTATTATCTTGGCCTCCTGTTGGGAATGTAGTTAAGATTAGAATGGCAATCTGTGTTTAGAGAGGCCAATTCTAAATCAACTTTTAAAATATTAGTAGAATTGGCAAGATGAATCATGGACCAATGGCGTTACTAAAAGCCAAAAATTGGGAATAGTAGATGAAGTTCTGAGATTCACTTCAGCTGTTCATTTCATCATAGCTTGAAGTTACACTGCCTGCAATTTTTAATGCGTGCTTTAACTTTTGGTGTAGACTGATTCACCCCCTTGAGAAAAAGGGAACATTAAGAGCAACTGAAAGAAGCAAAATATTACTTACTAAATTTATTAAAATCTAAGTGACATCACAAGATGAGTTGGCAGAGCCCTAATCAGTAATAAACCCTAGAGCATCTGTAACACTGTAAGGAAAGCACAATAAAAAAGCACAAGGTTAAATCTGAATTTGCTAGTATTAATCATTAGAATTTATTGAATGTTTAATATGGAATGGGCACTATGCTAAACATCTTATGTTAATCGTTGCATGTGATTTTTTCAAACAATTGATTTAAATAAGTATTATTTAAACATATAGAAACCAAGACTCAAAAAGTTAAACAGTGCATTCAGATTTACAAAGCTAAGTGATGGAGCAAGGTTACAAACTGTGGTTGATTGTTTCATAATGAAGAAATTCTCCAAGGTTTTTCAAACATGAAGTAATCATATGTGTTTCATTTATCTTGTGGGGCACTTTTAGAGCAGGGAAGACTTCACCGGATCAGTGATGTGTATTATGAGCCATCACTTACAGAAATTTACCAGGACTTTGATTTTAGGGACTCTCAAACTCGATATGTGTGTTTTCCCTTGTATTTCTGATGATTTTTCTAATATGTTTTCCCTTGTATTTCTGATGATTTCTCTAAAAGTTATTATAATAATGTTTCTCTGGGAAAACAACATTAATGCTTATTATTGTGAAATAACCAGTATGGAGAATTCAGTGGTATGCATCCCACTGTGTCCTTTAAGACATTAAAATCCAGGCTTTGAGAGTGGTGCAAACACTTCCTGGGTCCAAGTACTGGCTGTTATGTGGACAGCATTCTTAGTGTTCCTATAAATTCATGCATACTTATTTCTAGTCTTAGGGATGGAAGCCAAGTTAGTTCATCCACTGTTTTTCCTTGTCCTGAAAATTCTGAAATCTATACATTGCTTGCCTAATACCTTTCTGATTTTAGAAAAAGAAAGAAATCATGAACTTTTCTTTAGTGATCTTTTCTTTGTTTCATAAAACAACTGTTTTTGCTAGTTGCCTTTTCCCCACTCTATAAAATGTGAATATCCTTGCCTTTGAGGGTCGGTTCTTGTCTCATTTGGTAATTTTTTTCTGATGCTTTTAGTACATTCTCTCAGGATAAGTATAACTAGTTCTGGACTTATTTAATTATAACTTTGTGTACTTGTATCTAATATTCAACTTTAAACTTTCATTTTAGTTCTGAACTGGGTAATAGCAAATGAATGCTAACCATTGAAAACCCAGCGAAAGGATAGGTAAAATATTCTTAGTGTATAGTCTCTTGTGACTTAAACTACTTCTTATAGGCCTGGAAATTTTGGAAAACTCACTAACCACCTTATATCTGTAAGATTAGTAAGACTTTTATTCCCTTATTTTATCCTTCATTCCTTTTGGAGGTCAGACCTCTTGTCCATGGTCTCGAAATTAGAGTCTTCCTACTGTAATGACAAACACGTTCCTGCTATTTCAAGTAGTGACTCAGGATGGATTTTATTACAGCATGGCATTTATGCTTCAGAAAATTCTGAGGCCAGAATTTCACTTCAGTCACTGCAGCAATCTTGTCTCTAAGGAAAATGCAAACTGAGTCCTAAATACATAACTCTCAACCTGAGCTCTTGGAACATCGTCCATTTGGAAGCTAGAGGGTGCCTTTTGTATTTAGGAATATCAAAGAAATTCTTATTGGCTCATCTACAAGCTCTCCTGAAAATCTTGAGCATTCTAACTACCCTAGCAGAAGTCAGCAGGAATCTGGAAGGCAGCAGCTATTGAACTTCTGAACTCAGAAGCAGCATCTATTTTCTTACTTCTGTTTGTTGACTCCTCTTTGATCTCATCTTAGTAGAAAGATAATACCCTAACATTTTAGCATATTTAAAATAAACTGCTTCAACAATCCTCCAGGAAGCTCAGCTTAACTTTAGCCTTTTCCCAATCTCTAAAGCTCTTTACTTAGGTGTGTATATTCACCTTCATGAAAATTGTCTATTAAATAATTTTCCCTAATAGAGAGTTTATTTTTCTGAATACACTCTAGGCAGGATGTTTAGATTTCATTTGATCACAGGAATGTGAACCTTTCTTCTAATATTGTGATTGTCTTTGAAAGCCTCTTAATAAAACTCAAGGACCAAATGGAGTGAAAATCCAGTTTATAGTCATGGTGCTGGCAGGGACAATGGTGGTGCTAAAGGCTGCTGGAAGTCCCCAGGGCTGTCATAATTCAGATAAGATCTCCAATTCGACTTGCAGTGATCTCAAAATGAGAAAATAATAGAAAATAAGATAAAGAATTGAAAGATGATTATCTTATATTTCTAGTTTTTAACAAACCATAACAATGTAGCACACAGTGAATGATATGTATTTTTAAACAAATATATTATTGTTGTTAGTAAATTAATTGATATTTATTTTAAAATGCCAGTCCTGTAATTATCTTAATATATCAAAATATGTTGCATTTTCATTTTTTAAACATTACACAACATTTTTAAACATTAAAAATCTAATCACAATAATGGATAATAATATTACATTTCCAAAACTTATTTTTTCTCCTTTCTTCCTTCCAAATATTATCCAGATTTTCTTTTGACTCTATTCATCTTTTACCTGTGCACTCTGCCTTCTATCCAGGAATGGTCCAGTTGTTCTGAACCAGTCAGCATATTTTATTTTGTGGCCACAATCACTGGTTCACGCATGCAGTATGAATCCTGAAGTCCAACTTAATGGAGTTGAAGGACTTTTCTTGAACAGCTCTTAGATGTCTTCTATTTAAATAGATCGAAAAAGGAAATGGGTGCCTAATACCAGGAGACCAGTGAATCCAAGGAGAGCTTTAGAGAACAGAACCCTACACACTAGGTCCTTACATTGTACGTTCCTAGTTCTACTCAATCTGAGGCCCAGAATATTTGGGAGTTTCCACATTTATGATCCGATGTTCTCTCCATGTTTCAAAGCAGGTATGGATTAAGTGCTCTGCAATTGAGCCCATAGGATTAAAGTTTTTCTCTAATCCTAGTAAAAAATCTGTTAATTTTGTGGTATTTGGAGATCTTCAAAATTTCAAAGTGGAAAAGGCATCTCTTGTCCTTGACATGCCCTGTTCCTGTGGATAATAGTTGCCTTCTGCACACTAGAGTTGTTCCCAGTTCTCAAGGAATAGTGTAGTGAGCTAAAGATAAATAAACAAACAAACCAGTGCTTCTCACTGGAGGTCGATTTTGCCTTCCTGGGGATGTTTGGAAAATCTGTCTTTGGTGGTTACAATTTTGAGCAAGGGCAGGGATACCACTAAATACCGGGCATTACATTCAACAACCTCATCCTACTGCGAACAAAAACTGCACAGCCCAGGGCTGTTTAGAGTGCTGCACTTGGAAACCTTGTCCTGCTGTAGAAAGTGATGAAAAAACTGGTGGGCTGGTGGTCTGGCTGTTCCCCTCTCTCATAATGCTCAACTGTTTATTTCATCTCTTTTCTGCGACCTGTAATGGCTGATACCCTAGGTATTTCCTATTTTTGAAATTAGCACAATATTTTTTTTTCTATGGTGCAATAGAATAAAAAGAATATTCTCTCAGTAGTGGGGATTATGTTTTTGTTATTTTCCCATTTTCAAAGTAAGTTTCTAACTACTTCAATGGATATGAGGCATTATTTACTTTTTGTTTTTTCGATAGATTCAATGTGTAAGATCAAGATCTAGTAGTAGAAATGGGGCAAGCATGCAGATGACTTTTGGTTTTTTTTGAGACACACTCTATTTTTGTATTGCAGGCTGGCCTTGAACCTACTGTGTAACCTGGATTGGCAGTGATTCTTCTTTTTCAGCCTCCTGCAGCACCCTCCTGCTCTGCTAACCAAATTACTTGAGCACAAGGAAATACTCATCATTTTCGGTGACTATCACCTGAATGCTATGGAAATCCACATGAGAGAAGATAAACTCATGATGAAGGCATAATTTGTAGTTTACTTACTCCTGGAGTAAACACTGCTCTATAAATATGACTACTCCAGAGGGCCACACCTGCTTATCACTGTCCTTGGGTGGCATCTCTAGAACAACAGACACTAGTGTTTCAGGAGCATATTAACAGGTGCCTGGCTGCCTGCTTTAATCTTTCACCTTCCCTGTGCAAAGATAGCAAAGAGAAAACGCAGCTCAATGAGGCTGAAGGGGCATGAAATTGTGTTAAGCAGCACTCAAGACAATGACTGAATTTGCTATTTTAAAGTAAGTGATTAAGCACCTCTTTTTTTTTTTTTAATTTTGAAATTGTAATGTTCCTGTGCTGTTAAGTGTAAAGGTGACTGCTCCATAGAGGGATCTCAGTGGTTTGTACTTGATAGCTAATCAGGTTGATTCATTCAGTGAGGTGGCCAGCAAGCTCCTCATAAAGCACCATTGAGTTTTCACCTCCCTAAGATAAACACTACACATTATTATCTTTCTGGTTTTTGAAGGAAAGAAAGTTGTCATGCAGACTTTTTAAGAGAAAATTATAAAGAAACAATGAGGTTTTATATGTGCAGCAGAGTACATATGTACTTACGAACAAAACTAGTTCCTTTAATGAGTTTGTTAGAAGCCTTTTAGTAAGTGGTTTAGGCTACCACTACTACTGGGAATTGCAGTTTTTGATAAGACCATCCTGCATTTATTCTAGCTCAATCCCAGGTCTAGCAGACTGAAAAGTGCACATTTACCTACTGTTAATTGCAAAGGAACTGTCTAGAAGTGTTAGCAATGGTGCATTATTACCAAATTTCCCCACAGGATGGCATCCATCAGTTAAAAACAAAATTTACAGCATTAGAAGAATTCACAAAAATAGGGATGGATTAAATTTCCTGTTAGGCTTCATAGTGTTTAGGGTTTATTTTGATACACACTTTAACTTGATCACAGTGAGTGGGAGAGGGTGGTGTGGGTGTGTACCAGGAGCTGGTGCAGACACAGAGATGGCATTCATGTTGTGTTCACAGGGAGAAATGGACTCATGCTGAGGCTGGAGCTGCTAACAAATAAAGCTTAGCATGGAAAAGCTCCTCATCACTAGAGGGCCATATACTGAATTAATTTTTCTCTTCCATCAGAAGATTAGCAGCTATCAGGAGATCAAATCAGAACAAGAGCCTCATGCCAAACTAAGGAGCAATGCAGATGATTTTACGCTTTGCTTTGGTGAAAAAAAAAAAAAAGAGTTCTATTTTGTAGCTTGAGAATAATAGAATATTACATTTATCTGCATGAACATAGAACTCCCACTGGCCAATTCTGAAAAGGAGGGAAAATTTAAAAAAAAAAAAAAGAGAGAAAAAAATATTCCAAAGAGAAGTAGTAATTTTCCCAAGACAAGACAGGAACAAAAGCAATGGTCATGCCAATATTTCTAATTAGAGAAGACAGTCAGTAAAACCTAAGCAGAGGGGTTTGGTTTGGGGCTATCTGTCCTCAGGAAATACGTTTCATAATTAGATTTATGTTGCAGACTAATAACCTAACAATTTTCTAAAAATGGTGTGTTTTATTCTTTTCTTGTTTGTTTGTGTTTTTTTTTTTTTTTGCAGGAGAGGGGACAAGGTCTCACTATGTAGTTCAGCTTGGCCTTGAACTGGTTATATAGCCCAGGCTCACCTTGAATTTTTGATGATTCTCCTGCCTCAGCCTCTGGAGGGCTAGAATCACAGGTGTGTACCACATCAACTCTTCCATTCTTAAAGACAGAGGAAAAATTGATAAAAGGATATTGTTATAATTAAAAACAACTGGGTTGGGTTGAGGTTTGGTAGCACCTGGGGATGCAAGAGAAATATTCCCTCAGGTGTTGCCATGAAATTTGAGGCTTCTGAGCTTGAGTCTCAGTCTCCTGCTTCTTTCTAAGGTTTATTTCCACTGTGGTATGTTTGCTTGAGCCTCTCAAGGCCCCGACTCTGAATGTCTGCTGTCTGCTTTGGAAATTATCTCTGTCTTCCTGTCAGGGTTCCTTTTGGGAGCCTGCTGTCCCTTTAGCCACACATCTTACAGGCCTCATAGACCAAACCCATCAAGTGTGCCTCCCTGTCACCTTGGAAAGGACACTGAAGTGCTCCTACAGATCCTGATTCCTCATGAGGCAAAGTGAGATCACAGGTTGTTTTTTTTTTTTCCCCCTGCTACCAACTGCCAATTCATTTCAGCTTCAAAAGTGTTTGAGAGTCTCATTATTGCATGTTGGAAAATTTGCATTTCTATTAATGTCAATGTCTGTCTGCATTAGAGCTCTCTCCTGAAATGGGAAAAATAACTCCCCACCTGTTACACGTTAGATGTGCTGAATTCATGATGGAACGAAGGAGCATCAAGGAACGAAGACCCAAACCAAAGGTAGAAGTTAGGAGGGTTTTATTGGAAATAAAGAGAAGAATGGTGGGTGGCTACTGAGACTCTTTGTTAGGGGTAATTTATATAGCAAAATCACAATGAAGGTATACTGGATCGAACTGCAATCAATGTATGGATCACTAGTATAGTCACTTAGCTAATACTGATCCAGTAGGGAAATAAGTAGGGGAATGAGTGTATGGAAAGAACAAAGGCATTTTTGGAAAGGGAGAGGAGTATGAATCCAGATGCTCTGGCCCCCACTTAAGGGTCTGAGGCATATCTGGGCCCACTGGATGAGGTGGTGCTAATTATAGTACAATCTCAAATTGTTGTTTATCCCTTAATCCTGATTATTGCATCTCCAAACTGATCCCCACCCCCCTCAGGTTTGCCTCCAGCCACAATTCTGATGTTTTTACTTGTTTTATCTTTTTGTGCTGACTTCCTCAAGGGCCAAACCCTCTCTGACTGTATATTAATTTCTATTTAATTTAGATTTCCATAATACTAGTATAAAGCTTACAGAAAATGTGGATGTTGCTTCTCTAGTTCATGTGGATCTTGCAAACAGGCATTTTAATCTTAGAAGTGCAAAACACACAGAAAGAGGCTACCAATGAAGACATCCTGGTGTATGAAAAATCCTTAGGCACTAGTTCCAGTTACAGATACAGCAGACTGCATATGGCTTATTAAAGGCAGAGAGACTTTGTGGGGTGTTGGTTGCAGTACTGAGAACCATAACCTATTTGTGGAGCTGCTGATTTTCTCTGGGCCCAGGATTCTGTGCTTTAATCTCACCCTCCTGCACTCCAGGGATTTTGAATGTGGAAGTCAGTTGATTCCTTGGCCACCACATGAGCCTCTCTCTGCATCTGCAGATACACTGGATTTTGAGAGGTCCAATGGAAGGCCTGCACTAACATTTAAATCCAACATTCTGCCTTCTTGGCTAAAATCTGTAATGGTTTTCTGTGGATGTTAGTTTGTGCCCGCAACAAGGGCCAAATAAATCTGTGAACAAGGAGTTTTAAATGATTTTAGTGTGTAGCACTGAAGAATGTTAAGAAACAATATTACTACATACTGGGAAAGCAGAGAAATGCAAAATCCTTCCAGCTGCCAACATTTTTATATTGAAAAAAGCATTTGTTATCAATATTTTGAAACCAGGCACCTGTCACACCTGGGCACTCCCAGAACATCTCCCAGGTATGATTATTTACAAAGAGTAAAATTTCCTTAGGCCATGGTGGCAGTGCCTTCATCTTCCTGAGTCCCGAGTTCTCTGATAATACTGTGTTAAACGAAGGAAAGAAAAGCATTTCCAGCCCTTTTTTCTTTGATGTTATCACTATGTGTGAAACTCTAAGCATGAAGGGACTTTGACATCTTTGTTAGTAAACAAGAGGAGTATTACAGTTCTTTTGACAGGAGGGTAAGGAGGACTGTGCTCTGGCAGGCTCCTTCTCTCCTCCACTGCCTCTCTTCCAACTTGACAGGCCTGTTGCACAGGCCAGTGACAACACTCATGTCTCTTCAGGTTGAAAGCATTTGTTAGGCATCTGTGAGGAAGGCTTTCTTGCTGTAGGATGTCAAGTCACACAATGTGAAAAGAGCGGCAGCTCAGGCTGCTCAGCCATCACTTTCCTGTGAGAGCAGTGCTGAGGAGCAAGCGGTCCAATTAGAAACCGAAGAAAACATTTCACAGAGGGGACCCCAGCTTACTGTCCTGACTGTGCGGTATTCCGCAGACTGACGGGGGCCATCAGGAGAGGTTGCGAACACTGAGAGGAAATGGAGAGGACTGTGTTTTCCCAAGAGACCAGAAATCACTCTGTTTCTCACTGATGCTGCCAAGTTGTTGATCTTGATGACCAGAAACCTTATCATAGACTCAGTTAATATTTTAAGTGATTTTGAGAGTTACTGCTCATATGAAGCATCTCATAATATTTAATGTTACATAAATTTATTTAGAACTGACCTCCAGCAATTTTACTTTATGTATTCTATCTTGGTGTACATACTCAGAATCCCAGATCTTCAGCAATTTGTAAATATTACTTTTGGTTATTCCTTGTGGTCTCAGGACGTACTTCATCTGTGCCCACTGACATGTTCCACCAGAGCCGGGGGCACTGGGGTGCTTACCTTACCCAGAGGCTTTGCCCCCCTCAGGCACAAATCACTAGTAATCCTGTGTTTTCTCTGTGTTCCCAGGGCACTAATTTACTCGGTGATTCTTTGTCCTCAGAGTGGGAGGAGGTGTCTTTTTCCTCTTCTAGGGTTTGCACTTTGTCATTGGGTCATGGATCCACAGCTTGATCCATGGTTCCTATCTTCCTGCACAAAAACAGATTTGTGTTTCACTTGGAAAAGAGGCTCTTCCTTTCTCTTAGCTTCATCTTCACCTTGTCCTGTCTCCTTTTGGGCCAATGACAAATTCAGATTGACAGAAAACAACACTGAATTGCAGACCTTGAAAATAAAAATGAAAAGAGGATCAGAGTCAGATATGCCTCCCATTACAGGCTTATCTCATCAGTGGTTGTCTTCATTGGTTCTGGGGCTTCAGCCCAGCCGAAGAACCATGTAACTTATTCTCTCAACCTAAGTCTATCAGACATTGCCTTGTAGCATTTGTCCTTCTGACAATTCAAATCTGAGAATTGAATCTGAGAGATACCTTGCCAAAGCTCACAAGGGTCAGATCCATGCCACTTGAGAGCACAGGTAACCTCTGAATTTGTTATTTTTTGCTACATAACAAAACTTCTTGAAATTGGAGTCTTAAATGACAATTGTTTATTTCATGATTTACAAGTCAGCAACTTGGCTGGCTTTTCCAGGAAGTTCCTCTAGTCTTAGCCTGGTTTGTTCATGTGTCGTCGGGGAAGATATCTTGGGCTGCTTCACCTAGGATGACCTCAGCTGATATGGCTTATTTCAACATGTGGTCTCTTTTCCTCCAGTGAGCTCACTGGCCTTGGTCCATAGTGCTGGGATGGGTTTCCAGGAAGAACTGAGTAAAAGTTTAAGATTTCTGGAGCCCTAAGCTTGGAACTGATTACTGTTACTTCTGTTGCATTGTTTTGGCCAAAAAGATCAACATGTGGATACAAACACAAAGAGAGGACAATAGTTTCCCCTTCTTGATGGGGAAATTTTTACCTTCTCCCTTCCTGGTGGGAGAAGGTGAAAATATCATCAGGAAGGATGTGAATTCAGAGAAAAACATTGTGTCACTTTTGTATTTTACTATAGTACAGCTCCATGTAATATTTCTGTGCATTGCTTTACAATTTGAACAGTTCTTAAGGTTTATTGTTGTTTTCATAAGTGCTAACCTGGTACACTTTTTATCTCCAAGAGCCTAGTGGGCAATTTTGCATAGACCTTAACTGGAAGTTTATAAACCAAAAGATTATAAAAATTAATTCAGAAATAAAATATTCTCTGTCTTGGTCTGTCTCCTCTCTTTATCTTTCTCCAGCAAAAGAGCAGAGTAAGAGAAAATGTATCACATCGTTTAAGAAGATGGAAATATAAAGTTATGGAACTTTCATTTCTGAGCACAGGAAGAAGAAATGGCTATTGGTGGCTGCTTGAGAGAGGTGGCTTGGTTACCCCAAGCTTTGCTTTCTTTCTTCTTGCACTCAGAGGCACAGGGCTTTCCATGGCCTTGTTTTTCCATTGCACCAGTCCTGTGATAACTCAATGAGGACCAGCCCCTCTCTTCAGTGGTGTCTACTTTTGTTTGTGGTACTGGTTCTCCTGGAGGATGAAACCAGTGGGCAGATTAGATGCTGCTGGGGGAAAGACAGTAGTAGAAATCAGTAATAAATTCCTCAACTTTGTGTTAGAACCAACACTTTCCTTTTCCTCTCATCAATAATCCCACATCACCTTGGTCTATTATATCACCTTTCATAGAAAACAGGTAATAGCAAGTATTTTTGGAATACCCAGTGTATGACAACCATCTCAAGGTTCTGCAAGATCAAAGAAAAGAGGCAGGCAAAGCTAGGATTGCAAAAAATGTAGTTTATGGCCCCTGCTGACAGAAGTGTGGTTCTAGGCAACAGCAAGACCCAGTGGATCTCCATAATTTAGGTCAGAAAGAGAAGTACATGTCTCTTTTGGTTGTGACAAAAGAGACTTAATCCAAGATGAGTGAACCTGACTTATTTTGAAATTATGTCAAAGCATCTGGTACAAAGAGACTTTGAAGCTCCATATACCATAAAGATTTTTGTCTATGTATGGTATGTTGGAACACTAGTAGAATAAAGTTACTAGACTTACTCTAGGTCAGTCATAGTAGTGATGACTTAAGATTTACAAATACATCAGCCTGAATCCTTACATCAAGGAAACTTTTCAGTCTCTTTGTTTTCATTCGTAAAGTGGCCTGCATATGAACATGTTCTTACACAATTTGTTTTATTTGGTGTAGTTCTCCTCCTACTAACAAAAAACACTCAAAGAACATAGGTGACTGTTTAGAGGTACAAATTATGGAAGCAGGTGGCCCGCATTCTGAACTTGTCTACATCTTATAAACTACATTGCTTTCCTCTAAATCTCAGCCTTATCTTCTAAAGAAATAAAAGGGCTGGCTAGGTAGAATTATGAAAATTTAATGAGATATTTCTCCTTAATGCCACATGCCTAGGATTATGCTTGCCACATGGATACTGTGAACCACATCTATTTACACTATTTGGGTTCTGAATTCCATCTCACATTTTCAGAAAATGTGCACATTCCATTCTAATCATATTTTTCTATACAGTCAGTCTTTTTTCCCTATTCGCTCAAGTACATTGTATACTTTTACTTTGTTCTTTCTTATTTTGAGACTTATTTCAAGTAACATCATTTCAAATAATGCAAGGTCCATCTCTTTCAGAAATCTTCTTTCATGTGTCTTGTTACATTTGAACCTTAGTTTTTTTCTTTCTCCTTTCCTTCATAGCCAAGTATTTTTGGTAGAG